ATCTCATCTGAATGATGTATAGTACTTGTATCTTATGATGAAATTATATATACATATAAGAGTTATTTGTATATTTCTGATGATTTTGATATATTTTAAGGGATGGATTTAACATAAACTTTAAAATATCTTTTAAATTTATGGACCAGAACTAATTCACATATCTGTTTGAGCTCATGAATGTTTGCATACTGAGAAATAGGCGTGCAAAGCAATGTATGCCTATTTCTGAGGTATGAAATCCCCAAATAGGCATAAAATGACAAGCATAGTGACTGCATATTCTAATTTCCTTGCTGACACACTGCGTGTAATTCCAAGACTACATCATACTGTAAATCTTTTATTAAACCCCATTTTTGCTTCTGCACTTCAGCTAAATCAATAAGACCTAGACTGCAAGCGGTTCCTCCGGGTTTAGCTTCCCGGACGTGCGAGGGGAAAGGAGGGACTGGTGACTGCTTGCGATCTGATAAGACCTCTCTCTAAATATAGCATTTTTCTAATAAGCCCCTCCCCTTAAATGTGCCTGAACTAAACAAGCTCCGCCAGGGTTTTAATAAAGGTTTTACATTATGTGTGTGTTTATGTTTGAGCAACTGTTGATAGTCTATGGTATAGTCCTAATGCATCCCTCCACGAACTTGGCTCAGTAATACCAAGCATTTCATTGACATAACCAAAGTACTCCTGGTAAATGAGCGATTCATTTGAATCATCAGATGGATTCAGCTCACGATTAATTTCTTCTAAATCCTCGGGGTTGTATTGGTGTTTGTAGTCAATAGTGCCAACACTCTCTGGTAAATAATATAGAGTATTGGGGATTCCTGAAGCGGTATGGTGTCGAGACTTTCGGATATAATGATTATTCCATTCCTCTCTTACTTCATCCAGTTCTTTCTGTATGATCTTATTGAAACAAAACCAAATGCACTCCATATGCATTTTATTGCTAGTATCAAGATTCCCTGCATCTATCAGGTCTTTGAAAAAGTTAATCCACCATGAAGTCCATGATCGCCTTAGGTAGGCCCACCAAGCTTCAATGCGTTGGTTGCTGTGTGAGGAACCAAAACGGTGAGCTTTTAAGCCAGCAAATGAATCAGTACCATTTCTTCTGAGGAAGCACTGACCTGAGGACATAATTCCATTTTCAGTACCTCGATCAGTTCGAAGGATTGATGGGCATCCTCCAACTTCAATAACAGCATCTCTAAATAACTTTCCAATTACTTTAGGATCATTATTACTCATTTCAAGTTTTAACCATATCACACGCCGACTAAAGCCATCGATGCAGCCATGTATAGGTAGTCCATAAGGCTTCAATTTGTCATATCCGTCCGCGTGCCAACAGTTATTTGGCCCTGGGTTGATATAATTTCGTCTTTTCAGCCGGTGGGCTTGTCTAAGCCTGGTTCCTTCTGGGTCCATCTCTCTCAACAGGATTTCTACAGCAGATCTTGGCACATTTATTCCATACTTTAAATGTAGTTTTCGCCACATTGCTCGGTAGCCAAGTAGGTTTCCAGCTCCTTCGAGTTCTATGCTAATGTGCTGTCGAAGAACAGCTTCATTTATGTCACAATTTCGTCGGGTTAAACCATATTGTTTCAAACGATTCAAAAGAGTCCGTTTTGACATTTTTATGTCGTGATATTTATCCAGAAAATCTAATATCGTACTATACTCATACCTTCTGAAAAAGTAATATCTAATTGCTTCCTCTTCATCCATATATTACAGTAAAAAACACCTACGCTACACCTCAATACAGTACCGAATACAAACAGTATGTTTACTACAGTGTTTTCCCGCTTCACCTGACACCCTCAACAGGCCACAAATTAAAGGGGCCGAGAATTTTGGTTGCGATGTCAAATGTGTTTTGCGATGTCAAATGTGCTTTGCGATGTCAAATGCGTTTTGCGATGTCAAATGTGTTTCGCGATCTGTCAAATGTGTTTTGGAATGTCAAATGTGTTTCGCGATGTCAAATGTGTTTTGCGATGTCAAATGTGTTTTGCGATTTGTCAAATGTGCTTTGCGATGTCAAATGTGTTTTGCGATGTCAAATGTGCTTTGCGATGTCAAATGTGTTTTGCGATGTCAAATGTGTTTCGCGATCTGTCAAATGTGTTTTGGAATGTCAAATGTGTTTCGCGATGTCAAATGTGTTTTGCGATGTCAAATGTGTTTTGCGATGTCAAATGTGTTTTGCGATGTCAAATGTGTTTTGCGATGTCAAATTTGTTTTGCGATTTGTCAAATGTGCTTTGCGATGTTCAAATGTGTGTTGACTTTTTAAAATGTGTTTTGTTAAATGTAAATATATGTCTAGAAAACTGGTAAATGTGTTTGAGAATCGTGAAATGCGCTTTGGTTTTCTTGTTTTGTGTTTTGCACTTATGGGCCACCAGCAACTCTGGCTTCTAAAGCAGTTACAAGAGTTGCATAACTTCTCGGCAAACTTCCTAATAAAGTCACAACTTGATCCTCTTCAGAGATAGGTGCACCGATAGCTGCCAATTTATCCGCGATGTCCTTCATGTGTTTCAAATGTTTCTCCATAGAAGTTCCTTCTATCATCTCCGTTCGGAAATACTTTTTCTTTAAAAACAGTTTGTTCGCCAACGTATCTCGCTCAAAATGATTCTTTAGTGCATCCCACGCTTGCTTCGGATTTTCACATGAGCTAACCAAATATAGCTGAGCTGATTTAATTGCTAAAACAATTGTTGAGAACGCCCTTTGCGCTTTCGAACGAAATTGTGCCGCCGTTTCTCCCGAAGCTGACCCTGCTAGCTCTTCCGAACCGTCTACGAAACCCACAGCCCTTTCGCCAACAGCAAATGCTTCATTTGAAACTTCCAAGTACTCCAATTGCTCCCGTCTAACTTGTCGATTGACCATTTTTCCTCCATTAGTCGTCAACAGACCAGCACGAGTTATTATTACAAGCGTTATTTGTTCAGCAAACTGAAGTTCTATCGAAAAACCGGCGACGTAGGACTGTTAAACGATCCTAACAGCATGTTCTGGGCCCATAACCTGTAGACAAACTCACAATCCGAGTGTTGTTTTGCGATAAATGTATTTCTAACTAAAAAAACGTTTACAACAACATGTTATATGTCATGCAAATTTGAATAAATCTAAATAACCTAAATTGTCTATTCTCCTAAATTGAATATAAACAAACTAATGTCAAAAACACTATTAACTAACGACCTATTAATGACACCCCTCCTTGCTGACATAATATGAGACTGATCCCCAAGTTTTCTCAGTTCTTTTTCATTCTCATCCCTTGTCCTTTCTCTTCTTTACCTTTTGCCCCCTCATTTTCCTTTTGCTGTTTCCTTTCTTTTCCCTTTGTTCTCTTCTTTTCCCTACTGTTCTTTGAATTTCTTCCCTGGCCCTAAGACCCTTTGATTCCTTCCCCCCCCCCCCAGAGCCCGGGGTTATAGAAGAATATACACCATTGGACAAAGGGCCTAGCTAGATTGAGTCACTCGAAACATCAAAATTCTCTGTTAAAGATGAGGACAAGTCTGTTCTGCATGTGTGCTATGTAAACAATACCCAAATTTAACGTTGTTCCGATATCTTCTACATTGAAACTCTAATCTATGTACTATTTAAAGCATAGCGAACCAGAACGATGTTAGATATTAACCAAGTGTATTACATTTCATGAATATGGTTATAGTGTCTTCAAAATATAAACAAACTGCACATCCGCTGAAAGATCTCAGTGACCGCTTCTTTAATATCCACAGTGCTACTATACACTGGCACCGACCATTCGAGATTGTATGCTGTACTATTCCATTTTCTTCTTTCAATTGCAGGCGGAAGATGCATTGAAGAATGGGGAAGTTCCAGTTGGTTGTTTGATAATATACAAAGATAGCGTGGTTGGAAGAGGCCGCAATGAGGTAAACATTACCAAGAATGCAACACGACATGGGGAAATGATAGCTATTGATCAAGTTGAACAATACTGTGAATTAAATGGATTAGACTGCAGGAATGTTTTCAGACAATGCTCTCTCTATGTGACAGTTGAACCTTGCATTATGTGTGCAGCCGCACTTAGATTTCTGTGCATACCAAAAGTTGTTTATGGTTGTGCCAATGAAAGGTTTGGCGGTTGTGGTTCAATATTAAATGTACATTCTGATATCTATCATGATGTGCCTACTAAATCCTGCAATAGTAATCAACTGCCAGGCAAACCATTTGAATTATTTTCTGGAATCTATGCTGAGCAAGCTATTGATTTACTACAAAGATTTTACCTTCAAACAAATCCTAATGCTCCCAATCCAAAGATTAAAATGGGTATTTCGACAGGCACTACTTTGCAGGACTGACTACAGATGAAATTTTAAGAAGACACTTCAAGACAGTATTATTAACATATAAATCATACTGTATAAATGAAAGAATTTCTCAATTCTGATTGGCCGAGAGTAGTGCCATTTTTCTGAAAGAAAGTTATTTTTAAATGGAAAATGGGAAAAAAAGGGAAATGGCAATATATTCTTCAGTATATTTTTAAAAGGGAAATATATTTTTAAAAGGGAAATGGCATTAATATACTTTTTTATTTTCCCATTTGAAGAACTTTTAAGACAATACATAATACTCTTTTACCGTTTTTTCATATCTTAGTTATTTCTACAAATATTTTGATCGAAAGGAATGAAATGTCTACCATCTTCAATTTTTGTAGATATGCATGTCACGTCACAACAGGGGCCACGCAATATTTTTATCTGGACAACCACTAATCATTTTGCACTCAAAACTATACTCTGCCCTTCGAAATATCAAGATCACTCAAAACCTTTAAAATATCTACCAATCAATATTTGGTCAGCAACGAAGACTTTTATATGGTTAATCCCTGTTGTGACGTCACCAAAACTACCGTCAATGAGATCAAAAATGTATCCAAGATGGCGGACAACTCGTTACCACTGATCTGAAACTCGTTACTTCAAGTGAAAATATTTCAAGAACTATGCAACATATGAAAAATCGGTAAAAGAAGTTAATATATAGTTTCAAAAGTTCTTTCAAATGAGAAAACAAAAATTTAGTAATCCACCTCTGCAGGCTGTAATAAATAAGCTTGAACAATAAATAAATAAGCGTGCCAGTGTAGTACGTACTACATAAGAAAACGTCGGTTGATAGGGATACAACTAGCTGAAAAATACAAGGAGAACTTCGACGTTTCGAGCGAAGGCCGCTCTAGATTGAAGTCTTTGAAAAACTCACAATTGTACGTTTTTACTCACAATTGTACGTTTTTACACGACAAACTATTACTTTTTAATAATGTACATGAAACAATTATGCAGAAGTAAATTCATTGTCACTTGCATGCATAAAACACATGCGAAATAAAAAATTTACTCATTCATTTGAAGTTTTTAAGTGAAAGAAATGGTTTAAGTTTTGATTCACGTGTTACAGTTGCTGGAACTTCTCCTTCATTGGTACCTTTCTCAAGGGGAGGTGCAAGGTTGGTCTTCATATGGGGCTATTCATGTCCTGTTGACCATACCTTCAACCATATTATGTAGTTTTTTAGTCTATTTTATGTATGGTTGTAAAGTTAATAAATAAATAAATAAATAAAAAAATCTCTGCATGGGGAGGTGCAAAACGATCTCAGGTGAGGCCCCCCCCCCTTAAAACCTCATCAGGTCAATCTCTCAAGTATAAAGGCCCGGTCACATTACAACATTGAAATGAATATAACTGGGAAGTGGGACGCTGCCTTCAGATAAACTGCCTATCTTTTTCTTGAAGCCAAATCTGACCTCCAGACACACGTGTTTATATCGTGATTGACTGATTGAGCGCTCTTCGCATGCGTGAGAAGACTGGGACTGGCTTCAAGCTTCAAATTTCCGGTTGGAGGTAGCGTTCCAGTTCAATGCATTACAACGATAAGGATTTTAAAATTTGCTCACCGAACAAGTCGGACGATAACGATAAGTATTTTGACCAATCGGCGCGCGTTTACATGTTACCGTATCGTTAGTTGTGTAGTGTGACTGGTTCTTAATACAAACTTTAACAACAAGAGGAGTAACAAGATGGAATATCAGTAGACATTACAAGACAAATTAGAATTTTTCAGTTAAATAATGAATAATATAAATATGTACAAATATCAACACTGTATATTAGACTATACAATAATATTAAACCAATACAATATTCAGTTTTTGAGACTATGCCCACGTGTTTAATGATGGAAACAGCAGGTCTATGCTCTATGTAATGTTAGTAATTCCGAAGTTGTGACAACGGCAGAATTTCGAAATACAAATTTTATCTTAAATATCTATGGGAGTATGTAGTTTCAGGGCTTGACAGCGACTTGTTAAATGGAAAAGACCTGTATGTTCCTTATAACATTTTTTGCTTCAATAAACTGCGTTACAACAACTAGACTACATGGTGACTTACAATAACACTTATCCAATCCAGACTATATCGTGACTGACTACATGAGGAATTCGAAGTAGTGAAAGCTTGAAATAATATGGAGCAATACTTTTCGAAAATGGTATTCGTGTTATTTTCTTTTAGCGTGAGTATACAACCATGCATATAGCACTCCTGTGTTACATGAAGTACAGCACTTTAGGCGTGTTTTATGTTCTCATATTTCCACACATCACTGGATGTCTCTAATGCCAAAATTTTTATTGTTTCATTGCCATTGGAGACGTTTATGTAAGGCAATTTGCATATCAAAAACTGAAATAACTAATGAGGCAAAGAAATAATAATCAGAGAAAGGAGTTACTCTGTGTTAGGGCACTTTATAATTGCCCATGCAATCAGCTCCTAAATTCACCCCAGCGATTGCTGAATATGTACCTTCAATTTGGAATCACTCTGTGATAAAGGTTCAACATAATATGAAATCCATCGGTGCTACACACAATAGTGATTCGGAACATAAAAGATAGCTCAAAAATATCGTACATCTTCATTTTTGTTTGATGAAAGTATTTAAGAACCTGATCACTCCATGAAGGTTTTGTCTGCGTAAAAATTCTAAGTACACAGTTCTTGTTTTGCCCTGTAAAAAGGAACGTGTCTGAGATTCTTATATATAAACATCATCTAACCATAATTTTATCTTTTATAAGTTATATTATCAACAATGACTATTGAATTGTGATATTTTATACCAACACTTATTACTCATGTGACGTCACGTCATGTGTTGATTTCATCATGTTTCATATATAGTCTTGGACTAATATCTGGTATTGGAGAAACTAAGTGAAATCATATCAACAAGAGGATCGTGGGCTTGGGGTAGGAGATTGCATGTCTCGCTGTTTATGAGTTACGCGGTCAGCGGTCAGGGTAAGGATTAGGGGTTTATAACCTTAGGATTGCGGGCTCAGGGTACTAGTTGGAGAGGAAAATGGAGAGGAATATAAAAAATGGATTTTATACGCCAGTCTTAATGCACTGCATGCGCGGTCTTTTCTAACAGCGAAACCACTCAAGGTTCTGAAAGTTATTTCATTTTTATTTCATGATTAATTGAATGAAGTTCATATTCCAGATTTGAAAAACGTGTATGAAGATACTGTAGTCTGCATCTTTGCATGATAGCAGAGGTACACTTCTAGCTCTGAGCTCTCGATGGCAGCCACTATAAAACCAAGCGAGAGTGCCGAGCAGTTGCCGAACACTTGCATGAGTAAGAAAATGAAAAAACCCAGACGACATTGACTTACCCGGATTAAACTAGGATTAAATTTTATGCCTTCTTCTTGAGTCTAAAGGAAACATGGAATGATGAGAAGTTATTCTACTCACTCTCGTCGTATATTGATGATATAGCCAACTCTGAGCTACACACCTCTTCGACTATCAGCTCATATACGACTCGAGTTCGCAGAATAACTGTTAAATGTTCTGTGGTCCTCCAGAAAGGTAAAGACCTCTTCATTATTTCAATGGATTCATTTGAGGTTAATAAAAAGACATTGAGCGAATTTTTCTACTGCATGGTTAAATGGACAGTTCAGCCTTTTGAATGATGGTTTTTAAGGAGCATTACAAGCCTTTTAATTGAAAAAACTAACCGGGAAAATCAATTAAGCATAATTCAAGATCAGTGATTTCAATGTTTTTACCATTTTTAAACATTCCTAATATGTTAAAAGCATTGAGTTCACTGATTTTGAATTATGCTTAATTGATTTTCCTAGTTAGTTTTTTTCAATTAAAAGGCTGGTAATGCGCCTTAAAAACCATCATTCAAAAGGCTGAACTGTGCCTTTAAACCATTTGGAAGTTATTCAGTTATTGCGGTTTCATTGTAAAAATTAAATGCCTGTCTGGCTCCATATTCAAATCCAAAAATGGAGCTGGAAATGGAACCATCTCGTTATAACAGGCCACAATTTAACATATAAACTGGAGGGAGTCCCTCTAGCCCTCATATCCCCCCCCCCCCC